AGCTTCAGGGAGTGAGTCTATAGCCATCCTCTCTGGGAGCATGGCTGCAAGCAGGCAGGCAGGACTGGTGCTAGAGCATTGGCTAAGAGCTTACATCCTTATCCATAAACATAAGGCAGAGAGAGCTAACTGGGAATGGCCTGGGCTTTTGAAACCTCAAAGCTCACCCCCAGTGACACACCTCCTGTGGTAAAGACACACCCAAGTGTTTATACCAACTGGATACCAAGCATTCAGAGAAGAGCCTATGGGAAGCATTCTCATTCAAACTACCACAGAGCTCCTTGGCATTAGATACTGTAACACGTTATAAGTTGTACCCCCCCAACATTTACTATAACTATTAACCATTGACAAATATTTGGTGAATTGAGTCAGTCTACTAACTTCTCATGGAAGCATAGCAATGATGAAGAAGAGCTAGCAGATGACCTGTGCGGTCATCTCCAGGAGAATGGGGCTAGCAACTAACTCATGGATAAACCTGTATAAAGAAAGCTTATGGGTTTTTAAGAAAGTAATCAGGACTGGGTGCACTGTCCTCCTCTGTGCAGCCAGTCCTGATGAGACCTGATAGGCTAGGGTCAGATGGAAGGGGAGAAGGACCTCCCCTGTCAGTGGACTTGGAGAGGGGCATGGGAGGAGATTAAGGAGGGAGGGTGGGAAACAGCTACAGCTGGGAAACAAAATAAATAATATTAATAAATGTTAATAATTACTATTAAGAAAATAAAAATTTAATTAAAGAAGAAAGTAATCCCTCCTCTACAGGGGGAAGAGATGACACAGAAGGAAGAAATTTTGGAATTATTAGTTATTGAGAGTCAACAATGAAGTCTTTCCATAAATTTGCAGATACCTGGCTTCTCTTGAAAACTAAAAGAGCAGAAGCATCAGATCTGCAGTCAAAATAGCCATTTGGAGTTGTGTAGCAGCAGCAGCTGTCCCGTTTCAGGCACAGCTGAGGCCCCTGCAGCCTCACTGCCCACCCTTTACCACCATCTGTCCTCTAGAGACATCCCAGCTTGTAAATCTGGGTCTAAAGAATGTGTTGCCTAGTAGGAGGAACCCATATCAGAGTTTTTATCAGACATGGTAGAAAGGGTAGTTTAACCTCTCAAATCTTCAGCAGTACAGGGTCCTCCCTGGGCTTGTGAGTTCTCCTGCTGTGCTAACAGGCCAGCTTCTCCTCTGCACTTGACACACTGCAGCCAGACACCTGGAGTCAAGACTATGACACTCTTCATGAAGTCCCAGGCTTCCCACAGCCGCCTTCCCTAAAGCAGGCTCCAGGGGTGCTAGTACTCCTGGCTAATTTGGGAGTCACTATCCATCACTCTACATCTCCATCATGGAGGTGGCTGTTCAACCTCTCTAGTACAAATGTTATGTCTCATGCAGGCCAACACACGCATCATCCCCTAGGCTTTTCCATCAGCCCCTTAGGGTCTCACTCAGGGGCCGTGGCAGGTCTTAATTCTGACTCCCGTCCTAATAACCATACAGATCATAAAGGGCTATTGTCAAAGTCCTTCTTTCTCCCTGGGTTGTAAGAACAGTTGATCTGCTCATTGCCTAATACTCCTATAACATGTGTCTGAGGTGTAGATATAGGGGCCAGGAGATGGCTGGCTCAATTGGTAAAACACTTGCCTCACCAGTATGAATCTCTGAGGTTGGATGTGCAGAACCCACATAGAACACCAGCCATGGGTGCGCTTTTGTGGATACCAGGGTGGGGAGGTAGAAGGCAGAGATGGGAGATCCTCAGAAGGAAGATTCCTGAAGCACACTGGCCAGCTGGCCTAGCCTGCTTGGCAAAGGTCCAGAACAATGAGAAGCCTGACCTAAAATAAAAGGGGAAAGGTGCCTAAGAAATGACACCCAACGTTGTCCTGTGACCCCCATATGCACCTGCTCATCTGTGCACACATGGGGAGACACGAAGACTTGAGTTTTTAGTGAACAGGCATTTCTACCAATGAACAACTATTTGAAATAATAGGACTTTAATTTTATTTTATTTTAATTTTTTTTGAGATAGGGTCTTTCTATGTAGTCCTGTACATCCTGAAACTCTTTATGTAGACCAGGCTGGCCTTGAACTCACAGATACCTGCCTGACTCTGCCTCCCAAGTGCTGAGTTTAAAGATGTGTGCCATCAGGCCCGGTTTTAATAACGTCTTATGTGATTCTACCTTTGTGTGATTCTAATGTGTTCATGCTCACACGTGGTTTAACATGAGATGCAGCAGTCATGACACCTAGGGAGTAGACTCTGAAGAGGCACTCACTCTGATAGCACTTGTCTGCCCTACTCTAGTCCTGGCAGGGGAGGGACGCCTTTGCTAAAGCCATGAAAGTAACAAGAGGGCACATGAGGGTTCTAGTGTAGGGAGATTGAGATCCTCACTGCCACCTGTTGCTGGACACACACCATGCGTGGAGGTAAAGAACCCTCAGGGATCAGGCCTGAGACAGGAGAGGGGAGAAGGCAGGAAAACAAAACAAAACCCTTCTGCAGAGACCGTGAGCTGAAGAGTGGCATTTTAGCCCTTGCAATAACAACTCACCCAATAGACTGTACAAAATGCTGGTTCAGGAAAACAGCAAGAGGCAGTCAACACTAATGACTGAAAAGTAGAAAAGCTGTGACCAAGGAAGAGGACTGTCCAGAGGATGGACAAGGAAGCCCTTTGGCTGGGCTGCTGGCCTGTAGAAACAGCCAAACAAGAACTTAATTATTTATGGTTTGCCTTCTTGCTGCACAGTATTGCTTCCAACAGAAGAAGCACCCCACACATAAGAGACCATTATTACCTCTGTCCATTTCAGAGACCTGAACTGACCTTTAACACACTAATAGTAATCCTGCTTTGAGCAAGCGGCATCTGTTTTCATGCCAATAACACTGTACCAAAGTTCTTTGAAGCAGGTGTGTTGCAAGTAGGTCAAACAAGCAGTCTGTCGTCTCTTCTAACTTGTCTGCTAGCTTCTTTCTGGATAGTCTGGCCAAATTTATGCAACAACAAAAAAGGGTGTTTTATGATGTATGCAAGATTCATTTATTTTTAACTGTAACCATTTTCATCATATTATCAGCTTTGCAGAAAAATTATAAGTACTAGTAATCAATATAAAAAATTTAAGTATTTTTAATTAATTAATTTATTCACTTCACATCCCAATATAACTCCCTCCCTCCTCTCCTTCCAGCCCACCCTCCCTCTCCCTGCCCCCTCCCCCTCTGCTACCCCTCAGGAAAGGGTGGCCCCACCCACTAACCCACCCCAACACTTCAAGTCTTATCAGGACTGAGCATATCCTCTTCCTGGCAAGGCAGCCCCACCAGGAGGAAGTGATCGAAAAGCAGGCGACAGAGTCCATGTCAGACCCGGCTCCCACTCCAGTTACTAGGGAACCCACGGGAAGACCAAGTTGTCCTTGGGGTATACATGTGTAGGGAGCCCATATCCAGTCCATGCATGGTCCTTGGGGGTGCTTCAGTCTCTGCAGGGGCCCCTGGGCTCTGGTTAGTTGGCTCTGTTGATATTCTTGTGAAGCTCCTGTCCCCTCTGGGTCCTTCTATCCTTCCCCCAACTCTTCCACAAGGCTCCTTTCATTACAATATTTATAGGAACACTGTGATTCCCCAATTAGAAGATGAGTCTTCTAGGGTTGGGATGTAGTTCATTAGGCAGTGAGCTCACACAGCATACACAAAGACCCAGTTTAAATCCAGTCCTGTAAAACATAGGTACTGATGGCACACATCTGTAATCTTAGCAATGGGGGGCAAGAGGATAAGAAATGCAAGGTTATCTTTGATTATATAGTAAGCTCAAGGCATCCTGGAACACACAAGACTCTTTCTTAAAAAAAAAAAAAAAGTAGAAGCTCTTCTAAACATTTTAATGAAATGTCTCACCATATTTTTCTGTACAAATGAATATTGGAATTATTCTTATGTCATATATGTTTAACATGTCTTTCACATGAATAAGTACAGATTAACATCATTTTTGGCATATCATTACAGGCAAAGATAAGCAACACTTTAACCATCTCTTGCTGTTCTCTGTAATACACGCACCCTTTTACACATATCAGGTTTCTTCTTTAAGATTAATTGCTAAAAGTGAAATGGCTAGACCAAAGTATGTAATCATTGTTAAGATTTCAACACATTATACCAAACTGCTATCCAGAATGATTGCACCAAGTAATCCTCCCTCCAGCAGCACAGTGATGGGCCAATTTCTTCAAACCATCACCAACACAGCATAGACAGGGTGTGCCTGTGTCTTGTATTTTATATTTTAGACACACATTAAGTAAAATAAGACACAGTCCCTGCAGGGAGAGTGAGGGTAACTGGAGAGACAGTATGTATAGACTAGTGAGCTCAGATCACAGTACATGTGTGCTCTGAGAACCCAGAGCCTGGGCATCATGATCGTCTCAAGCAGGTGCCATCTTCAAGCAGAGGCCAAGGAGACTTCCTGGGATAGGCTCATAATAAGGCTAGCCTTGCAGGATCATGGGAGATGAACTGAGTAAAAAAAAACAGGGACAGGGTGATCTGGTTAACAAAATGGATAAAGGAATGGTCCCATGCATGGATGTTTGTCTTAAGAACACCAGACTAAAGGTGTGGGGTGGGGATTGGAGGGAAGCTGGACAGGAACCACAAACATTGACACTCAAGAGAGAAGCCAGTTCTCATCAAGAAGTGCTCTCTGGGCTAAGCAAAGGAGTTTTATCTTTACTTGGAAAGCCAGGTGAAGACTACAAGGGAAAACTGCTTTGGGAGGCAAGAGTTGGCATCCTGTGTGTTGATATTGATACTGGACCTGAGATTTTTAATTTCCACTGCTTTGTGAACCACTGAACCTCTATGTCTAATAAAATAGACTACCATTCCAGCTTTAAATACCCATTTTCCCATTAAAACAAAACAAAACTACAAAAACTCCTTTATCTCTTTTTTTCTTTCCAGAAAAGGTGGCCATTAAGATTCTGGACAAGACTAAGTTAGACCAGAAAACCCAAAGGCTGTTATCCAGAGAAATTTCCAGCATGGAAAAATTGCACCATCCCAACATTGTCCGTCTTTACGAAGTTGTGGAGACCTTATCCAAGCTCCACCTGGTGATGGAGTATGCAGGAGGTGGGGAGCTCTTTGGGAAAATCAGCACTGAGGGAAAGCTTTCTGAACCGGAAAGCAAGCTCATCTTCTCCCAGATTGTGTCTGCTGTGAAGCACATGGTAAGCAGGGCCTCCTACTCCACCTGCCTTGGGAACATGGGGCTTTGGCTTATTATCCCATAATCACCGTGAAGAGCGTTGGGTCTGCAAAAGCAGGCAGTTGACCCTTACATGAGAGTCCAAAGTCTACCTGGGACCATGGTACAAAGCAGCATCCAGGATCTTGGTTCACAGCAGGCTCATGGCTTCTCCAGAAGCTGAGAGGAGCCACTCGGAGAAGCCAGACCAACATCCTTCACTTCTTGGCCACACTCATTTCTCTAGACTCATGTTCTACCTCTCAGATGCCTTGCCATGCTCCTTGGACCTCCTTTCCTGTATCAAGATGCCTTTATACCTCAGCCCACAGCTCACATTTCAGTCCTATCCACAATTCATTACCACCCCAGCTTCACCTTTTCCTCTCTGAAATGTGCTTCAGTCTCAGGCCAGCTAATGCCAAATTTTCTCATCTTCAGTGACACCCCCACCCCCTTACTGCCTCTGTGCCTCACATATTAATGCATAATCAAGTCATTTTTTAGTTCTCAGATTGGTTCTTTATATAGAGCTGGATCTTGTGAAGTTCACTGCTCTTCCAAGAACCATTCTTTTTGTATATTCACTAAGGCCAGCCACACCTCTGGGCACACTGAATTACCAGTTATCAAGGAGGAGAGCAGCAGATTCTCCAGCAGGGAGAAAGGGCCCGCAGAAGCCCTGTGTCCTGCCGCTTCTTCCTGTAGTCCAGTCTCTGAAAAGAAAAAGACTGAATTGCAGTCATGGATTTTGTTGCATTTTGTGTACGAGGACCACCCTGAGCTCTGCCCACACCATGTCATCTATAGTTCTCACCATAGCCTTATGAAGTGAACGTCAGTATCTCATTCTATGTCACTCATACTGTGCCTCGTAGAACTGAATGGAGATTTGACCGCGCCAGCTTACAAAGCTTGTTACCACCCCAAGGACTCATTAGGACAAACGACATGAAACCTTTACCCAAGCCTTTAAAACTAAGCAGATCAAAGTTCCTAGACTATTGCCTGAATGTAGAGTGTGAGAACAGGAAGGGACATGTCCCCACAACACACAGCAGACTCTATTGCAAGAAAAACTTCCGAACTCAACCTCCTCTTTTTTGCTAAATTATATGAGCCCACCTAATGGAGGATGGCTAGGTGGTCGGTGCAGGCCCCAGGACTTCCTATTCTTGGTCTCTGTCAAGAGAGCACTCAGAAAAACTAGGTAAGACCTCAGAAACTAAGGCTTGTTATCTGACTGTGTTTAAGAACTGTGCAATTGCATAAGATCTGGGTCTTTTTTTTTTTTTTTTTTTTTTTCTGGCACAAATTCCAATCTTTAACCACACAGAAGACTTGACCTTTGGTCTATTTGTGGGGGTTTAGGCATTACACTGGGTTAAAGTTTTGATAGTTTGCTAATATGATTTAAGTTGTTTTCCATTGATTTTTTTTGTTTTGTTTTGTTTGGATTTTTTTTTTTTGAGACAGGGTTTCTCTGTATGGCCCTGGTGTCCTGGAATCCCTATGTAGACCAGGCTGGCCTTGAACTCACAGAGATCTACATGCCTCTGCCTCCCTGAGTGCTAGGATTAAAGGCATGTGCCAGCAAGGCTAGCTAATGGATGTATTTTGTATTTTGTCACTTACCTAAAAAAATGACTGTCCCCTCCATGCTTTCTTCACAGCATGAAAATCAAATCATTCACAGAGATCTGAAAGCGGAAAATGTCTTTTATACCAGTAGCACTTGTGTGAAGGTGGGAGATTTTGGATTCAGCACTGTAAGTAAAAAAGGTGAAATGCTGAACACCTTTTGTGGATCGCCACCCTATGCTGCACCCGAGCTTTTCCGAGATGAACATTATGTGGGTGTTTACGTGGATATCTGGGCCTTGGGGGTCCTTTTGTACTTTATGGTGACTGGCACAATGCCATTTCGAGCGGAAACTGTGGCCAAACTGAAGAAGAGCATCCTTGAGGGCACCTACAGCATACCCCAGCATGTGTCAGAGCCCTGCCACCGGCTCATCCGGGGAGTCCTTCAGCCCATACCCACGGAGAGGTACGGAATCAGCTACATCATGACCAATGAGTGGATGCGAGGGGTGCCATACCCCACCCCTTTGGAGCCTTTCCAACTGGATCCTAAACATTTGTCAGAAACCAGGGCCCTCAAGGAAGAAGAAAACGAGGTGAAAAGCACTTTAGAACACTTGGGGATTACAGATGAGCATATACGAAATAACCAAGGGAGAGATGCTCGAAGCTCTATTACAGGGGTCTATAGAATCATTTTACATAGAGTGCAAAGGAAGAAGGCATTGGAAAGTGTGCCAGTAATGATGCTACCAGAACCTAAAGAAAAGGACCTAAGGAAAGGTTCCCGTGTCTATAGAGGCATAAGACACACATCTAAACTTTGTTCGATTTTATAAATCATATCAGACAGCTGGTAACTAACCATGAACAGAGTTTCTGCTTTTAACTTTTCTCATACACAATTTGAATGGAAACATTTTTGTAATTTTTAAATAAAATTTAAAATTGAGATATGCATAACCCCCCCCCCCCAACCCACACACACCAAAATCTCTTAACCTAGATGCTGGCCTGACTTGGAGTTTTTGTCTTTTGTCATATTTCAGGGTTCATTTATTTAATGGAGAAATACATGAATTTAGTGCCGTGTGCCAGGCACCATGTAAGGGGCTGAGGAGACAACGCCAGTTCCCTTCCATTGTATGTAGGATAATTCTAGTACAGACACTCAACCAGCCACTGTTGTTATGGTTTTAGAAGAAAGATGTCAAATAGTGGGAGATGCCATGCCGACTCCCTACAGGGCTAGATGCTGGAAGCTTCTACTGTTGGAGGAGATGTTTCAGGAGGGCCGCTGAGTGGACAAGAGTGAGAGCTGAAGTAGTAGTAATAGTGAGCGGAAGAAGGCGAAGACTGTGCCCAACAGCGAGGGCTATAAATTAGATTCCTCCAAACAGAGCCAACGACAAAGCTTTCACATAGTTTATTTGGGAAGTGAGGGACAGAAGGGGAAGTAATAGCCAACACAGACATTACCAAAGTTAGCCAGTGCTATAGCTCACTGAATGTTTGGGCATTCAGGCCCAAGGATCTTGAAAGCGTCATGTTCTTCACATCTCAAGGGTCTGCCCAAGGTATGAGAGGGGAAGGACTTACCACCTTCATTCAAGGGGAAGGGTAGTCAGTGGCATGACCTGCCCTCTGCATTTCCAGATAATGCTGTGTGAGTACCAAGTGGTTTCTCTGTACTTCTCAGACCTGTGCCTTCAGAAGTAGCCTTCACACAAGAAGGAAAAGCCCACAACATTGGCTTGAGGCACTGCATTGCCAAATGGGACCTGTATGAATCCTTTCAAACTTGCATGGAAATGGTTACTACATCAGTGCCTGGAGGACACCATGTAGCAGGGAGGATCTAAAGTGGTACCCAGAAGCTAACACAGTCTATCTGGACACCCTGCTTCAATTAAATCCCTCTGTTAAATACGGTCCTTGGAAGGGGTGGTACCTGGTGATAGTCTCAGCACAGCAGACTCTCAGAGCTGTAACAATGGCTCTTAAGCTCTACCTACCAGGATTACTTCTGTTTTCCCAGATCAGAAGTTTATCAGCTCAGATCCAGGCCTTTAGATTTGGCGAATCCTTGGGTGGGCAAGAACAGGTATATTTTAAACAACTTTGCAGGTGCTGGCAATACTGTTTGTTTAGGGCCAGGCTTGGAGGCTGAACTTCCCTGCAGCTGGTCTAGAGGCTATACCTGGACTCTTCTCTCCCTCTTCCTTCAGCTACCCTAGCTTTTCCTTACCTTGGACCAGCATTTCAACTAGTTCACACTGAGTAGCATGACCCAGCCTGTCGCCAGGAAAAGATCCTAGTCCTCGATTCCTTACCCTCCGTAGACTGTAACTGCTGCTGCTGCTGCTCACTGTCATCAGACCAGCGTTGGGTCCCAGCACCTTCCTTATCTCATTACACTCAGGCTCAATTATCCTCATCGGAATAACTCTTCCATTTTCATCCTACATGGCCATGTTAATCATAGACGCACAAGTTCTTACTGGTATTCCGAGTGAAAACATCCTCCTAGCCTCCTGGGAACCCAAAGGGCTCATCTGCTTCAGCCTAGGTTGTTGCAGGGAATAAAAAACCTCCCAGTCATCGCTTGTGAAATGAGTATCTTACTTCCAGCCTCTGGTTCCCACACCTGTGAATTTAAACACCAAGGGACATAAGCCATTATTAACACAGGCACACTGATTGCTGGAGAACAGCATGCCAATCCTGCAGCTTCCTTATACATGTGATATCTTAGGCCACTCAAACTCTATTTGTACTAGTTGCTTGCAGCATTGAGGTCTATGCTAATGCAAGGGGATTCAGTAGTTAGTTCTTGACACAATGATGTGAGATATGATGGCAATGAATCAATATTCCCTAGGTTCTAGCACAGTTGTTTGAAGGATACATTGTGGGCAGGAAATGCACACCTATAGCCTGAATAGCTGTTAGTTCCAATGAGGATGAATTGCTGCTGGGCTCATGTCACTTGATGACTCTGTGGATCTGGTAATGCCCAGATCAACTTCACTGTTCTGTTTCGTTGCCACCCAGTGCATTTCAGACGGCCTTAGTAAAGCACTATCCTTGGGATGTCTGTTCAGTCTTCTATGATGAATCAGAACACTTATGTCTCCTGGAATTTCTGAGCATTTCAATACTTTGCTAGTGCAGCTCCACCACTGCCATCTCATCTATTTGAACAGTTGCTGTCGAAACCACAAAGCCACCTAGCAGAATACTAAGACCAGCTTGGATGTCTCCTGTCAAAGTCATGGGTAAACGGATAAACTCTCCCATCGCTGGTCTTACAGTCTCCCCTCCACCTTTTCTGAGGATCCACTTGCACGTTTGTCCCAACTGACAGTATTTATTAGCCAGCTTCTACAATCTCCTGTGTCTGCCATTTTCACACAGGAGTTGTGTTTCTCTGTTTGGGAGTTGTGTCAAAACTTCACTTTGGCTCTTGGAGAACAAAGGAAACATCACAGCAGGACCTGGAGGCCCAATTGCATTGGTGTGTGTCTTAGAAACCCTGGCGGTGTCACCTGGAGTCTCTTTTGCAACCTGTCCACCCTTGCCTACTGCGCTAGCTTCACTTGTTGGTCTGTCCCTGTCTTCCCGTCAATCCCTAACTTTCACAAAGAAGAATGGTAACAATTTAGCAGTGTCCAGCCTTCAGATGAAACCTTGGGCCTCAGTGCAGTTTCCTTCCATAGCATGCCCTGACACCTTGTTTTAAAGGCTGACTTTCAGTATGCCTTTAATAAGTGGTTGACTGGCTTGGGGCTATCATGCTGTGTCCCAGGATTCCTAAGTAGGTAGTAATCTTGTTCAGGTGTTGTAGTAAAATAAATTATGAGTGTTGGGCTATATATTAGCCCTATTACTATCATGGCAGTATTACCTAACCCACTACCGCAAATAATAAGACACAGACACCTGCTAGATTTTATATTACCTTGGGCTAGGCAGACATTTTACTTGCAGTCTTAATATCCTCACCATCCATCTCCCAGCCCCCATCCAATGCCATCCCCCTATCCTCCTCAACTGGTCTTTCATCCATAATCCCATGGTACTTGCTTATATTCCTCATCTGGGTTCTTTTCATGCCACTATTGGAGTCCCTCCTCCCAGGCCATGTGGTTTCTTCTCCCATCATGGTGTCTTCCTTTTTCCTTAGCCCGTTTCCCGTGATTTTCTCAAAAGCCCCGGAACCCTAGCCATGCCTACTCCATTCTGCCCTGCCCACGTATAGGATGTTTAAGCAAATCAGGTATGTCTTAGCCAGGTTTACAAAAACAAGGACAAGTGTATCTGGCGGACAGTAACCAGATCTTTAGGGCCAGTAATTAGCATCAGACCAACCTCCAACATTCAGGTGACCCACAGAATATGCTTTGTCTTCCTCCCACCCCTACAGATGACCCGTCTTAGCAGTGAAGGTTGCTCCCACACATCACGTTTCCATAACCCTGTTTGCCAAAACAACAGTGTTATCAGTGTTGCAATCCCTTTGCCTGGGGGATTCTAGACTCTTCTTCTCACAGAAGTATGTGGGAACAAGCTGCCACAGGAATCCACAAAACTCAATGCTGGTAAACAATGCTTGCTCCTGATTAAGTGAACTATTGTCCTGCTTTAGGAAAAACAAAACAAAAAAACAAAAACAAAAAAAATTACAACTATTTTATTTGAAATCCTCTGCATCAAATTACTGCCTCAACAAAAATAATTTTGCACAAAGAATCTCAGATCAGCTACTTCTTCCTACAACCAATTAAGAAAATAAGACAAAAACCAAGAGGAACCTTAAGAGCAGCTCTTCAAAAGCTTGAAGAAAGATTTTACTTTGACATTAAGATCACTGATTTCTGCCTGGGCATGGTAGCACATGCCTGCAATCCCAGCATTTAGGAGGTGGGAGCAAGGGAATTAGATGATTAGGCTAGTCTACATAGGAGCCTGTCTCAAAGAAAACAAAATCATATCATTTAAAATCAAAGATCCTGCTATAACCTTTGCTGTTTTAACTTCTCAGTGTTTTCAGGAGATTCCAAGCAGCAAACAAAAGATGAGCTTTCAATATGTCACAGGAAGATCACAAGTAACTGTTTCTGTATTTAGCATGAAGCTCAATATCTAGAAAAAGACAACGCAGATTCCCCACAGGATACAGGAAAGCTGTAGTTCTTAGGATCCGAGAGTATGCAAGAAAAGCAACCTAAGATAACCCTGGACAAAGGCAGAGTGCTAGAACAGGGGAGCAGAAACTGAAACAAATATGTCCTGAATCTAGATCCAAAATGATAACATGAGCTGCTCTGCAGAATAATCTGTTTCCTAATTTGTAGAACCCTAAAAGGAGTGGCAAGGCTACATGGGATCTACTTTATTTCTGGCATGAGTAGAGGGCGTTGCTTAGATTGGGTTTGGAAATGTTTGAAGAATAGCAAATGAGTAATGAACAGAAGGCTCACATTTAAAAATAGCTATTTGCTGACTCCATGACCAAATTGTTGGCTCAGAAAAGAACACTCAAATATCTGAAATATTTGTCTAAAACTTTATTTCAAAGTTATTCACCTTACTATTAGTAAGGTGTACTGTTAATGCTCAGTGCCAGTGTTGCCAGGCTTGCCCATTGCCGGCAATGGACTCTGAGAAAACCCACTTCTTGGCACCCAAACATTAAATTACTCTTTTCAAAACATACAGAACTCTCAGTACTTGCAAAAGGATTACATGCACCATTTCCCCACCATTCTTTAAATCTGAACTTACATTATTCATCTATAGCAGTGAATGTTACAATGAAATCATTTAAACAAATTAAAACTGTACAAATCAAAATCCTACTAGTTAATATTGACAAGAATATCTTACAAATACTACATTACATATCAGCTTGCAATCTGAAACATCACACACTCATGTGTTTTAGATAACTGAAACTTCACAGAATTGGACAGCAAATAAAGTTTAAAAAATTTAGTTCTGTACATTAGTTCCAACTATCTCTAGTTTATAATCTATAATGACATGAGGCTCATGTCATTGTTCAGCACCAAAATCACCCAGAGAACTGTCTAATGAATTTTCTTATTTATCTCATGTGGTAGTTTTTGTTGTTTTTAAAGTGAAAAGTTTAGGAAAAAACATTAGAACTTCTACTTCTAGATCTTAAAGTGAATATTCCTTTTGGCTAGTCAGATTATGTGAAAATGTGGGTTAATTTTTTTTGTTTCCATTGAACAAATACAAAAACAAACAAAACACAAAAATACACAAACCACAAAGGAAAAAAGGTGTCCTGGGAATTTAGGATGTCAGTCCATTAACTGTATCTGTAACACTGTAGCCTAGTATGCCTGTCCCTGTCCCATCCTCCCTCCTTTACACTTATCCTCATGGGTGAGGTGCTCAGGACTGCAGCAAGCCTCCTCACACCAGCTCAGTGCTGCTGGGTGTGACCTGGCCAGAAGCAGCTCCCACAGCCATGCCCACAGCATCCAGGTGAACCTACTGGCTGTGATGGAGGCCTGCATCTTTCTGCTCACGTGATTGCAGTTAACCTTAACCTTCCTCACTGATGGTCATCAGATTCTAGAGCCACAGCCCTTTTCCCTCGTCAGGATTTACAAATCTTCAGAAAAGAGAATGCCTACCTTGCAATTTTCAAGCAGGGTTTGTGCGTAACATTTAAATTTCACAATCCCCAACCTAGAAAAGTTTTTCCAAAAGCTACAGGTATTTTTTTTATTTAAGTATAAAATTCTTAGACATTAAAAAAAAGAAAGAACAAAAAAACCAACCAATTTCTAAAAATTAGACACTAGTACCTCCACTTGCTGCCAGAGAAGCAGTCAGTTCACACCATGTTCGAAAGCTAAACTGCATGCATACAAACGTCCAGAGAGGTATGAAGTTTTACAGAGCCCTTTACATCATTGCAGTACATTCACCATTGGCCAGCACAACAGGAAGTGTATTAGCAAATTCAGCAGAGACTCCAAAAACACAAGTTTTCTAGGCTCCATATCAGTTACATTACAAGAACATGTAATCTGTAAAATTGTCCCAAGACACCCACTCCTTCAACCGTTTCCATCCCCCATCCCAGCCCCAAACACTGTGAAGCCGTCTGGCCACAGAGCTCTTAGTGTTCCCCGTTACTGATGACAGCTGATTCAGATTCTGCTGCGGTTGCAGGAAGTCTTGGCACTTTCTTAGCAGGGCTTGGAATATGCTAAAATAAAAAGAAAACAATTGTTGGCTTCTATAATTTTTCCTCTAAAAGTCATAGAGCTAATACCTACAGAGAAGCCAATAAAGGACACACTCAGAGGCTGACACTGACAGACTGTATAAAGCTTTCCAAGGAGCGCTAAGCACCCAGTCTTGCCCTTGCAATGAGATGAGTATGCAGTTACTCCTGCGGTGAGGAGCGCCTTCCAAGACTGCCTCTCATAACATCTTAAATTCACAACTCAGAAGCTACCTCGATGTGCTTCCTATTTGATTTAACAGCAAGAAGATCATACACTCATCAGATTATAATAAACAGAAAAAAAAATAAAAATAAATAAACAGTAACGCTAAGGTTGAAATTCTTCATTTGAACCTGGCTTTCCCACTGACTTCTATAATCCTGAGTGATGAGACTTCTTGGGGCCTTACCTTGAAATTGTAAACTTCAAAGAGGTTAGTATAAGGTTTGTAAGGATTATAAAAGGAAATGTTAAGTAAAGTGCCTAGCAAATAACAGGAATTCAGTCTATTGTGTCGCTTCTGAAAAGGTCTCGAGAGAAATGAGGGACTTAGCATCCTCCCTCCATATTGATTACTGGCCCGTAAGATACAAATGAGCCTTCTCTCAACCAAATTTCCTCTCAGTTCTAGTTTCTTGATAAACCTAGTACTTAGCACATCTTCTACAGCTGAAAAAAGGCGAAGATGGACTCTGAGCCCAGACCTTGCTCTGAGTCACTCTGCTTTCCTGACATTTCTTTAAGTTATACTTCTGTTAGGGCTCTCAAACCCAAAAACATGAGAGTGAAAACGTCTTATATCCTGCCAAAGAAGAGGATTAACAAAGTGAGTTTACTAACCTCTGTTGCTGTGTTTGAATGCACAAGTCCCACACCTTCATCCAAATTGTGATCATTTGTGGAGGGGCGCCTGGCATAAGTTCTTCTGTGCTTTTCATCCACTCTGACTAGGTACCATGTTCCTTCAAAGAGTGAATCTATTGAACACTGGGGAATATAGTTGGCTGAAAGGAAAGCAGAATATCAAAAATTACGTATGACATGACCCATCTGGCAATCACACTAAACAGAATTTTAGTATCTCTACAATTTTCCCTGACATCACATTGGTACTAAACAAAGCCTTGCTATATTTTTGCCTTGTGTATGTTTAACATGACTATAGGTCTCAACACAGCGTATTACCTAGGTGATGTGTGTCCTCTCTGAGCTTCATGTTTTCAGCAAAGACATCTGGTGCCACACACGTTCTTGAGTCAAGCCTTGACTTGAGATCACATAAACTTGCTGTTATTTTGTCAAGAGCTGACCCTAAAAGAGCAAATAAGTTCAACGTTAAAAGACTAAGAATAGCATGTCTCAAGGAAACTTAATAAAGTGTTGCCAAATGCAAATTACTTCTTATCTATTTTAAAAACTACTGTCTATGTTTAACTAAAATATAGATGGTTTTTGATACAACTTCCTACCACCCCTGACTAGACATTCTTTAGTATCAGGTAGCCCATAAGCTAAGAAACACGTGGGATTTGAAACTACAAATAACTTTTCTATAGCCAATCCTCAGTATAATTTTCAATGATGCCAAGTTTTCCCTCAGTATTTTTGTTCCTTCTTTCTCAAGGAAAGCACAAATGTTTGCTTCAATATAGTCAAAACCACAAGGGGGAAAATTCAGAGTATTATCTATTAAGTATTATCTATCTACAGGGTAAAGAGTAAAAAAAAAAAAAAAAAAAAAAAGAAAAAAAAAAAATCTAAGGAAAGAAGTAATGAAATGAGAGTGGAATGCTCTCCCAAGAGTGACTAATGCTCACCTGAGAAGGCGCTGGAGCAACCTCCCCACAGTGGGGCTGCAATGTGCTCTTGCTAACCGACTCACCTGGTGTGGCATCTTGTGTGACTTTAAGAGAGTACAGAGTGGCAGCCAAGCCTGAACCATAAGAGAACACTCCAATCCTCTTCCCCGCCAACTGCTGAGGCGAGTACCTGTGAAAGGGAATGGGGCGCACTTAACAGGTATAAGCTACCGTGTGCCAGAGGTCACACAGGCAGTCCTCAGCTCAACACAGGATCTAACTTGAAGCTTTGGTCTTTGTTTACTTTGAGACATCGTCTCCCGACATAGTCTAGGCTGAACTTGCACTAACAATCTTCCTGACTCAGCCTCCTGCATGTTGGGATTATACGTGTGTGCCAGCATTCCCTGCCCACTTTAATGTTTTCAATGATCTATGAGTTTTAATACTGCAGTAAGCGATCTGACTTGAAGTTTCAGTGCTAGAGTACAATCAGAGCAAAAGCTTACATCTTTTAGGGAATTATGGGATTTAGTAAAATTATTAAACCACCAATAAATCATCAGTAGGGACTTGTGGTTCAACTGTAGGTAAATAATAATAATAAAACCATGGAAACAAGAGCCAGGAAAGCCCACAAGACATTGACAAATCCTCAGGGAAGAGCTGCAGCCTCCCTTGTCCTTCATATCAGCAGACAGAAGTGGAGCAGACCTGAAGACACATTCTCATTCAGAAAAGGGGAGTCAGGGACCGAGATCTATACTTACTGTGCCAGAACAGAAGCAAGAGAGCCATACACAGATGATGTGTACATGTTGCCATTTTGATTTGATACAAGCAAAGACGCCTTTGTCTTCTGGTTAAATAGCTCAGAACTAGCCTTCATAAATGCCTTTTCCACATCTCTGTCGAAGTAAGTATCTTCTAATTTAACGTCCCTGAAGCATTATATTAAAAGAGACAATTACATAGCACTTAAATACCATCCTTTTGCTTTATTAGTAATTGTCCTAACTAATATTCAAATCTGTGAATATACAGGGTCTTGTTTTGCATTTACAAAGAGCCAGGGAGCAACACTGTCAGTGTATAAATGATGCTAGCCTGCTGTACAGGTCTTCTGCCTAACATTGCTGTAGTCAAGTAAAGACAACTTGATACTGACAGGCAAATAGATCAACAACTCTTTAGCACTTTAGAGTCACTAAACACAGTATAGAAAGAAGTCTTTCAAATCTAGTGGTGTTTATCAATTTAGCTCAAAAGGTCGCATTATAGGAATTAAGCCTTGAAAAGTCAAATAGAAGTTCCTCGGATGGAGAGAACAAGAATGTTAACATGTGCAGCATTCTAGGAGTCTAAGACATGATCACGGGATCCCTGCTGACTGGTGAGGTGCAGGATGAGGCATGACTGCAGAAGGAAGGCATGACTGAAGAGAGGTGGGGAGCTGTGCCGAACACTGGTGTCTCTGTGATCACATTACTGTGCTGGTAACAAGGTGACTGGAACTAAAAACAGAAATCAGAAATGACTAATGAATTTGTGTGGGTAAGCCAGCTACTACCTCTCTAAGAGCCATGTTTTCATTGATGACATAGATTAGATTAGAATAGAATTTTTCTTTTCTTTCTTTCTTTTTTTTTCTTTCTTTCTTTCTTTTTTTTTGTTGTTGTTGTTATTGTGGCTTCTTTGAGACAGGGTTTCTTTCTCTGTGTAGCCCTGGCTGTTCTGGAATTCACTTTGGAGACTAGCTTGGTCTCAAACTCAGAGATCCATCTGCCTCTGCTGCCCAAGTGCTGAGATTAAATGCAGCAGCACCACTGCCCAACTGGAATAGAACACTTTTGACTCTACTTGTCAGATCTATACAAATAAACTCATATAATATAAAAATAATCATACCATAACAGCTTCTTACCCAAAGGCTTCCAGGCCACTGTAAATACTGTTTTTATCTCTGTTTTGATCATTAAGAAAGTCATTCAGAAACATCCGAGCTAGAGATTTCTGCACCAGTTTACAGTACGGTGAGTGAAAGATCATGAAGCCAAAATCATTCAGGGTAAAATCTTTATCATTTCCCTCTGAAACATAAGACCAAGAAATGATGATAGCCCCACGGAAGCCAGGACCTTTACAACTTGAGTTTAGAGCTAGGATGTTTGTACCCTTACTTAAGTTTAAGAATTAGGACAAGTTTGTGCATTACACTCCAAAGAGAGCAGAGGGGATGGCAACAGAAGAGGCCACCTGCCCTGTGTACTTAAATAGCAACTCCAAATCCTAACGAAATCTCTCAGTAGTTTGAAATGTGTAATTAAATAAGTCACTCAGCTATAAATGACTGTAATGCTGATTTTTCAAATGCATTAATTTGCAGCATGGGTAATTTCACAGGACTTCTGTTTCTGTTCAGCATATGCACATACAAAGTTTACTTACTGTGGGATTCTAATCACTGGCCCCTTAAAAACATACTGCTAAGCCTGATGTGGTAGACATACCTGTAATTCTAGCACCGGGGAGCCTCAGATAGAAGGATCAGGAGTTTGAGGCCAGTGTAGGTTATAAAACCACTGTATCTCAAGAAACACTACTGTTAAATAATGACATTCAAAACATAGTGCTAAGTATGTATAAAATACGCACCATCCTGTTACATATTCAACTATAAAACAGTGTACTATTATATATCGCTAGAATGGTTCTTGTTTGTGGCTACTACAGCCCTTAATACTTGTTATGATTATATTTTTAACCCTTTCATCTCTAAGAACACAAATTGTAATCAGGAAAAAGTACTTATTTATCTATTATTTAGGGTTTTTTTAAGACAGGGTTTCTCTGTGTAGCCTTGGCTGTCCTGGACTTGCTTTGTAGATCAGGCTGGCCTCAAATGCACAGAGATCCACCTGCCTCTGCCTCCTTGAGTGCTGAGATTACAGGTGTGTGCCACTGCGCCCAGCTGAGGAAGTAATTTTTTAAACAGCTGCCTCTGGAAAATAGCTGAAAACTAAAACCTCATTTAATACTTTTCTCAAAAAATAAAGTTCAAATCTCTTTTGTAATGTAATTGATAAATCAACTTTTTAGGAATAGCTCTGCAGAAATACTTATGCCTTCACCAAAATTAACACCTTCCCCAAGACTATGAAGTGGTAATGATATTATCGGAAGTTGTTCACAAAGAAGCTTCTTGCTACAGCTGCTTAACACATTATTACACGGCCCTTTGGATACCAGAATCTAGTACAAGAAACTGGGTTGGAGGACAGCCTACCTTTCTGCCACTGGGCACGGATCTTCTTGCGGTAGACAGAGTAGCAGCGGTCCAGTGCACTGAGGTAGCACTGGATGGAGAGCTTTCCATCTACTACAGGATATTCAGAGAGCATGTCAGGCTTGTAGAAGTCGTAGGCATGCTGCATATGTGTCCCACGGAGTCCTGTAAGAACAAAAGATGCTGACACAGTCTTGCTATTATTCGCATTTTTGTAGTTCACTGTCTTATCTAAGGGCTCTCCTCAACCAATCAACCCTCAGCACTTCAATACAGGAAGTGCTGTACAAGGTGAAGCCAACATAATTTAAATAAAACTTAGCAGCACCGTGGGCAAGTTTCCTAAATGAATCTAACTAGGAGATGAGGCTGGAATCCTACAGATAAAGGAACTTATAAATGACTGTGGGCACATTACTACTCTAAGTTAGGTTTTCAACTCTACCTCAGCCCATTTTACTTCTTTGTAAAGGGAGGACAACTCTACCTTTTGGACAATATTTACAAAGATAAAGTGATACAGAGAGAGCACTTGGCAGCCAATAAACATGCAGCAACTGGTAGCTTCTACTACTATATTCAAATTTCTCAGAATATTGTCAGTAAGTAAATATAAATAATTAATAAATATAAATAAATAAGTCTGCTATCACAGACCTGCAATCCCTGGTATTTAGAAGCCAAAAGACCACCAAAATTGCAGGCCTGCTTAGGTTACAGAGAGAGCTCAAGGCCAACCTGCAGAACTTAGTGATAGCCTATGCTGAAATTTAAAAAATAATTTGGGATAAAGCTCAGACATAGAATGCTTGCCTAACAGGCACTGGGCCTAAAGTTCAAGCCCAACACCACAAAAAACAAAAACAAACAAACGTATTCTCAAACACTCACCTCGGTCAAAAATTAAAGGAGCATTTGGCCCAATTAGCATAGCCACAGCTCCAACTCCACCTGTAGGTCTGGCATTTCCTGTGGCATATATAGCAATGTCTCCTGCAACTACCAGAGCATATCGTCCTGAAAAATGTAATTCAAAGTGGCCAAATTAAAAAGCATGCAAGTAAACTTAAGCCTGTTATATTTCCCCAGAATATGCTTTCCCCATATGGGAAAACAAAAAACCAAAAAGCACTCATTTTTTCCTGTTATTCTTCCATAAACTAAACAATTCATTTAAACAAGTCAAAAGTCAATCATCTTTTTAATGTGTTTGGTAGTGTAACTGGTAGTAGTTTGCACACAGTGCTCACTGACTAAACAGCCATTGCAGGACTGGAGATACTATTCTGTTATCAGAGAACCTGGGCTCTGCCCTCAAGAAGGGCTTTTTGCCTGTGCATGTGTGCTTCTGTTTATGTTTCAGAATGCAGACATGGACATACCATCCCAAGAGCTAGATTCAATCCAGTTCACGGCGTTGAAGACTGCAGCTGTGCCTCCATAGCACGCATTAGTTGTATCTATCCCTTCTATATCTGTATTCCCAGACTCCTCAAACAGCTGCATCAAATTGGACTTCACTGATTTTGACTTGTCGATGATTGTCTCTGTTCCGACTTCTAGCCGCCCAATGCAATCATAGGAGAGGTTGTTTCTCTCCATCAGATTCTGAACCACAGTCAGGCAAAGAGAGTTGATGTCCTCACGATCTGTGCAGAAGCCCATCCTGGCCTGGCCCAGGCCAATGGTATACTTCCCAGCATCTACACCATCATATTTTTCCAACTCTGCTTGATCAACATACTGAGAAGGAAAGTAGATCTCCAGGGCAACGATTCCCACATCCTTGGGCCAACAAGCTTCTGCATTCAAAGGAAGTGACCCAGGCATGGTGAAAGAGCTGTTCAAAGAAAAATTAAAACATGGCTTTAGATGTTAAGTTGCTGACTTTTCAAGTTCAAAGCTGCAAAACAGATGTTGAGAATCTAAAAGTCACCTGCATTACCAGTCTTTCTAGGTTTCTACACTGTACCGGAGGCACTTGCTTATAGAAGTAAAGTAGCAACTTCAGGAAAGGAATATACTTGTTTGTTTGAACTGTAACCTTTTAGAAAGACTTCCTTATTCAAAACTTGAGTTTAAACATGGTTTTTAGAATGGGCTATAGCTTAGAGGCAGAGCACTTGTCTAACATGTACAAGACCCTGGGTTCAATCCCTAGCAACACACACACACACACACACACACACACACACACACACACACACACAGCAAGTTTTCAATACGATTTTCCTTAAAAAATTATAAAAATAAAATGATGATTTAAAAGTATGACTGACAGGGGCTGGAGGGATGGCTTAGCAGTTAAGAGCATTTGCTGCTCTTCCAGAGGACCTGGGCTTCATTCCTAGGACCCACATCAGGCAGCTACAGTTCAAGGGCATCTTTGCCCTCTGACCGCCACTGGGACCTGGACTCCAGTGATGCACATACACCCATGAAAACACAAAGAGACACACACACACCAACCAACCACAAATAAATAAATAAAATCTGAAAAAATATATGAACAATCAATCAAGGAGAATATTTATTTCTGAACACCCTCAAAAAGTAAAAACAAATCAGCCATTGTCTAGATGACTTGCCAAAAAAAAAGCAAAAATTGCTAGCTCTTCAGACCACGGGGTTAGTCATTTGACCTAGGAGGCTCAAGGTCTTTAAAACGTGTATTTATCAAGAAATTAAAAAAAAATAAATACATCAGTCTGGATGTTTCCGGCAGGGTGTGTGCGGAGGGGCTTGTTTTACTGGAAGTAGTTACAAATGTCCTGGCTTGCTGTGAAGAGAAGCCATGAGACTACAACTCAGCTTCACATTAGGTATAACTGGGCAAAGCTGCTCAGGAAACAGAATTTTAGTTCTCCACCCATCTAGACATTTAGTGTGCCAGTTACCTAACCAAACCTTTTTGCTATCTGCGGCAGCATCTGTCAACCTACCATTAATCTGATATTAACAGTGAAAAGTCAAATCCACATCACCTGTCCTTTGCCACTCTGAAAACTATGGTTTAATGTTAAAACAGAGTAAAAGTATATGTTATTCCTACAGTGAGTTAATTATTGAGATCTTGAGGGAATATCAAAAGCAGAAAAGTTTGGTTCTTAGAATATGAAACATCTTTATAGCACCAAAGTCTTAAGTTATGACTATATTAAAACCTAAAAAATAAGCACCTACCTAACAGCTAAGTTACAAGATTTTACTTTTTTGAGAGGATCTTATTCTATACCCCATACTAGTCTGAAATTCAAGGCAATCCTTTCATTTCAGTCTCAAGTGCTAGGATTAAAGGCGAGCACAGCCACCATGCCTGGCAGTTGAAGATGTGGTCTTCAGAAGGGCAAGTCCTAAGGGTAGGGTTAGCACCCTAGCATTTCTGGAGGTGAGCTGAGCCGTTATGGACTGAGCCATCTCTCCAGCCTGGATTGGCGCCCTTACAAGAAAACATCAGAGAGCTGGTTCAAGTCTGCATGCATGCATTCTGTCTCTGCCATGTAAGGTGATGACAAGAAGGCAGCCATCTCCAATCCACAAAAGAGCCTTAACAAAGAAGGCTCGTGTACCTTTCACTGTATTCAAGAACTTTAAAAAAAAAAAAAAAATCTGTTGCTTAATCCTTCCATACTGTGCAGACTATGGTACTATTTTCATATGGCACTAATTTGTTATAGTAGATTAATAGACCCGAGTGACCTCAACTAAGTCCAAATGCCTTTTAATGCCTTTTAATGCCTTCATGTATTTTACCAAGCATAGTAAGTATGTATTATGCAATGGGAGAGTAACAATAGCTAAATGTACTAATTTGCCAATATATCCTTGAGGACCTAAATTAACTGATGCTGCCCCAACGCTCAATACATTAAGACAAAACCAAAAACAAACTAGTATCATCAGCAACGGTTAGACCCAGAAGCATATATTATAATACAAGGGGTTTACTGAGGTAATGGCCTAGTAAGAGGGTAGAGAAGTGTTCACCTCCCGACCTCCTAGATCTTCAGCTTCTTTTCTGTGTCTCAAAAGGAACGTGCACACCTTTCTAGACGAGAGGCATATGACATACTTACTCTGTCTTCACCTGGTGCTACTATAGAAGCTCTCTAACAATCCATGGTTATCCAGAGTTGGTGTCCACTTCACTACACTGAGGTTGACATGAAGACACAATGAACTGTCCATTACCAGACACAGATTTTCAATTAAGTCCTTGGTATAACCCACAGCAAAAAAGTTCTAAAATTAGCATTAATGCTTGTCTTTAATCCCAGCGGTCAGAAGGCAGAGGCAGGCAGATTTCTGTGAGTTTAAGATCAGCCTGATCTACAAAGCAAGTTCCAGGACAGCCAGGACTGTTATATAAAGAACTCCTGTCTTAAAAAACCAAAAATAAACAAACAAATAAATGACAAAAGAACCAATATAAAGGGTCCTGAATTCAATTCCCAGAACCCCAAAGAACAAAAAAGTAAACAAAGAGAGAAGCCAGTCCATACCCTTAGCATGTAGGTAACCAGTCCACAGACTACCTTCTTATAAGTGACCCCTGCAGAGGCAGTAGGGTGACCTCCTCCTTTTCCTTCAGACTCTTTTCAACCCTTCAAACTGCTTGCAACATGAAGAAAACATGTTGCCTTTGCCCACTGGCTTGCAATGCTTTTGGAAATACAATGAACAAAAACATACTTTGTAATGTACTTTCTCACTAGTAAATTTAGTGAAGATTTGAGAATATATTGCTGCTAAATACCAAATCACCCTTCACAAGGTATCAAGTTCATGACTGTGTGTGTGTGTGTGTGTGTGTGTGTGCGCGCGCGCGCACACACACACACAAGCGCATGTTCATATAATGTGTGTGTTTTCTGTCTAATTTGGTCACTAGTATCCATTCTTGAAGAATTTCTAGTAGCTAAGATATTTTAAATATGTTCCTGGTAAACAAATATCAAATTTGAAATACAACAGATATAACTTAGAGGAAACGAACAAACAAACAACACCCAGCTAAAAAGCGTATGAAGAATGACAGCAGAGAAGAAAATGGAATCATTGCTTGATGGCATTTACAACAGAAATTTGATAAAACTTTCAGCCAAAAATGTTACTGTTGGGTCTCCTATTAACCATGTGCTTTTACAGCCTCCCAAATGCCAAAATAGAGCAGATATAAATTGGTGGTGGGAATATAAAAAACCTAGCTAAAGTTCAAAACGCTTGAATTATAGTTTGTTGGCTCCTTATCCAGTCAGAGAATGAGATATTTTGATTAATTCACTATTCATAAAACATACTTTTCTAAGCCATTATGGTGGCACATGCTTTAATCCCAGCACTCGGGGAGGCAGAGGCAGGTGGATCTCTGTGAGTTCAACGCCAGCCCAGTCTACAAAGCAAGTCCAGGATAGCCAGGGCTACACAGAGAAACTATCTTGGAAAAACAACAACAAAACAGCAACAAAAACCCATACGTTTCTAAATAAAATTTGAAAATCTAATAGTTAAAAACATTCATATGGCTTAATTTTCGGTAATAGGAGTAGCACAATGAAGACCCTGTATTTTTAATAAAATACAAAGGTTCCCCTTTCACTCTCAGCTTATTAAAGGAGGCAAAAGGTGCACGTCTGCCACAAAACTAGTTAACTCGGCCAAGCAAGCACCCTCAGAAGGCCCTCTGCTCTCTAAGAGGCCACACCCTCAGAGGACAAACAAAGCTACAAGTCCTAACAAAGTCAGGCAAGAAACCTTCTTAGTACTTTCCTCGGTGACTAAGGGCCAGGCTTTTAGCCCTGGGCCCTAGGCCTATGTAGAGTCTCCTAGCTGAGCTCTCCAATCCACTCCCTGTTCTGTCCCAACCAAATTATGCCTGACAGTTTTCAGCTGCTGCAATCTCAACCTTTTCCTTTATTGTTAAGGGTCGGCATCTTTCTCTTGAGAAATATGTAGCATTACAATAGCTGCAAATAATTAGGGTACTGGTCTAAACACTGCAACTCCTGTCTATTCTCATATAACCTTAACAATTCACCCAGAGCCCAGACGTGTGTCTTTTGAAACTATTTTAAAAAGCGCTATTGAGGGCAGGAGACATGGCTCAGAGGTTAAGAGCACTGACTGCTCCTCCAGAGGTCCTGAGTTAAATTCCCAGCAACCACATCTATAATGAGCTCACAACCAACTATAATGAGATCTGGTGCCCTCTTCTGGCATGCAGGTATACATGCAGGCACAATATTGTATACATAATAAATAAATAAATATTTAAAAAAATAAAATAAAAAGCACTATTGAGATGCAGAATATGGTGTCAAACTACTGAAATCTCAGTTCTTGGGAGGCTGCGGCAGAAAAATTGAATCAGTCTGCAGATAAGATCCTGCCTCAAACTAACAAACAGCAAATAAATAAGTAAAAGCACTTTTGGCAGCCAGGCCTATCTATGATTATTTCAAATTAACTTCTGTGGCTACATTTTATTACCCATATTTTTCATGTTACAAGTAAACACTAACTTTTAAATATAAAAGTTTTTATAGTATTAACTAATTTAATAGTATTAAAAGTTTTATAGTATTAACTAATTTTTAAAGGTAACGTAGTTTTAGGAAAATATGGCTTGAGGTGTGGTGATGCCTTAAATCCCAGCACTTGGGAGGAAGAAGCAGGTGCCTGGTCTACATAGCAAGTTCCAGCCAGGGTGACACATTGCAAGAAAGAAAGCAGCAGCGAGGAAAAAGAAATGAATATATGGCACATACAAACTGCCATTAGCTCTAGGATAAATCCCACCCTCCCAATGGAGAAAACACCTGCCTTAAGAAGCATGACTGGTGCCATACCTGTGTGAAGGACAGAGCGCGGCAGTCTCCAGGTCTGGCACTGTGTCCTCCTTCAGGCACTAGGAGTTTCAAATGAGAACTTTTAAAGTCATAAAGCACTACTACACAATCAAAGACTTCAGATCAAAGAGAGCTACTCAGGGATTTTCTTCTCTATATTATATTATACAAGAATAAAAAACCCACAATTCAACACGTGCTTAGAAAAAATATGGTACTTAAAGTTTATGGACCACTTGCCCTTGATTAGTCCTTATGGAGGCAGGTTTGGCTCTGCAGAGGAACCAACATCACATCACCATTCGGCTACGATGCTGGGAGAGTCACAGTCTTCTCTAAGTGTAGGTTACCAAGAATCAGGATGAAGAAACACAAGTAAACTTCTGGAATACAGACCTACAGTTTTCAGAATTTACGCAATAATTTGTGCCTCTTTGAATCTCAATTCCCTTACCTGTAAAAAAAAGGAACAGCCCTCCCTCCTCTCCCCAGCCCCCTTGAAGGGTGGTGGTGAAGATGAAATGTGTGGGGACTGCTTGGTAAGATCAGTCACCAATACTGCCCCATAGCAGGCAAGGCTCTCAAGTAAGTAAACCTTGAATATGTAAGGGAAGAGATTACGAGGTTTTTACTAGGTTTTGGGGGATTGCTTTGATTACAGCATTATACATACACTTTCAGAAAATAGTTTAGCTTTTATTTTTTATTGTCTCAAATTATGCTTGTGTTCTTTGTAAATAAAGCAGGCGGGGTCAAGACCTTTTCTCAGTAGGGTAGAAAAGGCATTTCTTCCCCATGTTGAGATAAAGTAACTTACAAACATCCTGAAGCCAGGACTGTAATTTGTATCAAAGGCACTTCTGAAAACTTACTATACCCCTCCCTTTCTACTTGTTTATTTTTGCAGTGCTGAGATCAAATCTAGGCCCTCCCTTGGCCAGTCAAATACTGACCACATCCTCAGTCCTCTTTCTATTTTGATTAAACTGGAGAGAAAAAGCAGATGGGAGGAGGAGAAAGGCACACTAATGAGAAGAAATAAGAGTCAGAGAAGGCTGTAGTGCCAATTACAGACAACATAAAAAATCCACATATCTCTGAGAGAAAAGAGGCAGTGAATGGCACAGTGAATGAACCTATCAGAGAGGTTTAAGCTTTTGATTCTATTCTACAGTTGCTGGGAGGGTGCATCGTTAATCTGAAAAACTTGAAACCTTAGCTCAACAGAGTACAATTTTTTGAGTGCTGACATGACCTGTCAGTAAAAAATACATGCAATACTTTAAATACTGTATCTTCAGATTTTGTGTGTAAGGTGTATGTGAAGCATGAATTTCACCTTTAGACTTTAATCTTACCTACAAAAATCAGTTAACATATACATGCACATTTCAAAACATGAAACAGTTTCTTACAGTCCCAAGCCTTTCTAATATATAATATACAATCTGTAGTGCCAAGCTATAAAGAAAGTTATCAGACTATAACATCTTTTCGAATGAATGTGGCTCAGGAAGCAGTTAAAGAATTGCAAGCAGCCACACACCACAACAAATGCTTGGAGACCTGTAAGTCACAATATAGGTATTCTGAATGAGGCTGCTGGGGTTGATGCTGCTTTCTTTGCTGAAATTTACTCAACAGGATTTCTCCTTTTAGTTCACTTCCTAGCAGTGATTCAAACAAGTACACAGAAAAACTAACCTAGTACACACAGTTACCTGGTAAAGTGTAAGCAGTTACTTGCTGCTCTCTCACACTTTTAGTGGAGACAAAACCAGGATATTTAGAACCTTCATCTTTCTTTAGGAGCATATAAGTAAAAATTGCTAGAAAGTCTTTACTGTCACCTGTATACTTGTATAGATCTCCAAATAAAGCACAGCCAGCCCTGTCCACTCTCCCATTCATATTTACTTATTCGTGTGTGTGTGTGTGTGTGTGCGCGCGTGCACATGTATACACGAGTATCTGTTCATGTGCCATGACATGCATGTGAGAGTCAGAGGACAACCTGCCACGATGGCATCTTCTACCAAGTATGTCCTGGGGATTGAACTCAGATCACTAAAACTTGGTGGCAAGATCCCCTCCCCCTTGCTGAACAGTAACTGGGGTGGGGAGTGGGAGTCTCTATTCATCTTTCAGGCTCTCTTCTAATCTAGCTACCTTTTCTAGAAAATTCTCCTAGATAAACCAGTTTTCTAATCAAGGACCTGTATTCCTATACAGATATATCATTCACACTCAAGTCTGCACAGCCTACCCTGTTGAAATATTAGTCACATTTTTGTATCTACGTCGGACAGTCTATTTTGATTTTGTTTGTTTGTTGTTTGAGACAGCGACCCTCTATGCATCCCCTGGCTGTGCTGAAGTCACTATGTAGACTAGGCTGGCCTTGAACTTGCAGAGATCCAAGCACTCACCAGGTACTAGGGTTAAAATGTATGTACCAAGCCCAGCTTGTTTGATTCTTTTGAACTAACTTTTGAGCAGTGCTAAAGACGTTAAAGAACATTTAAGCCAGGCATGGTGGCACATGTCTAATCCCAGCACTCTGGGAGTTAGAAAAAGGCAGATCTCTGTTAGTTCGAGACCAGCCTGGTCTATAACGAGAGTCCAGGACAGCCAAGGTTACAGAGAGAAACCCTGTATAGAATAGAAAAAAAAAAAAAAAAAAAAAAGGCTGAATTTAGAGTTATTCAGGACACATTCCAGGTTTGTTTTTTTCTTCTCCTTAGATTCAAATATTCATAGTAAGTTTTTGCTATCACTTTTGAGATAAGCTAAACTTATTGGGCCAAACAGTGCCTAGGAATTTTAAAGAAACTGGCTCTCTACCACTACTGTTCACAGAAAGGCTAGGCTTGAATCATTCCCAGATCCTAATCTGAACATGTAAGGAGCCCAAACAGAAACAGAAAAGAACATCTGTCAGTGTTTTACTCATTCTCACATGAACCCACACATGTTGCAAAGGATGTGCTTTAAAAAAAATTGTTTCTGAACCAGGTGGTGGTGGCCCATGACTTTAATCCCAGCACTTGGGAGGCAGACACAGGCAGATCTCTGTGAGTTCAAGGCCAGCCTGGTCTACAGAGTGAGCTTCCGGACAGCCAGAGTTACACAGAGAAACCCTGACTAGAAAAACAAAAAAACATGCCAGGAACGGTGGCACATGCCTGTAATCCCGGCACCCAGAAGGCAGAGGCAGGTGGATCTCTGCTGCCAGCCTGATCTACAAAGCAGATCCAGGACAGCCAAGGCTACACAGAGAAACCCTGTCTCAGAAAAAAAAAAAAAACACAAAAAAACCAAAAAACAACAACAACAACAACAACAAAAAGTTTCTCTTTACTGCACAGTTGACAGATATTAAGGATAAATACTTAAAACTCTAGTACTAGCATGCAGCCATTAGCTGGGTAACACACTTCTCAACCCTTTTAATCTAAATATACACAGCTGTCTACTATATGGCTTTCTAAAAGCCAACATTAAGTGGTGAGGTTATGTTCCTTTCTAAATGAAACTATTGTCACTTCTGAGTTCCTTAGCTTACAAAAATGTAAAAATAGATTCTGATACACTGTTCAACCACAAATCCAGTCCCTGGATAATGAAAGGCTCACCCACGGATAAAATCATTCTAGAAGACCCAAAAAATCCCATGTGCCATCAATGTCGTGGATTTTGTATTTCTTTTAAAAATAATGTATCTAGAATCTCAGTTAAAGAAAAACAAACAAACAAAAACCTCAGAAATAAGTCCCTCAGTTAAATGGTAGGAATAAGCCACCAAGAAGGGCATTTATGAAAAACAAAAGTTAAAAGCAAGCCCCAGATGACATGGCCTTTCAATGACTTCAAATTTAATTTTTATACTCTCTCTTCCTCAAGGTCAAGACAAACCTGAGAACTGGGATTGCTGAGGGCACTAAACGGAAGACGTGTTAATTTAGGAAAGAAATATCCACACAGATTAGATACAAAGAAATGGCAGCCTCTCTCTTTCATGAGACAGGGTACCCTTACTCTCTCCATCTCCATTCAAAACTAACTGAAACTTTAAAATCTGATCAAAGAACATGAACTGTTTAGAAGCCTCAAGCTGCAAAGAATCACTTGTAGATACCCATGAGGGACTTTCAGTCTGTCTCCAACATGATGGGATCTGTACAATAAAAATTTAAACCACAGCTTGGAAGAAAAAAAATACATAACTATGAGATTTGCCGTTGTTTAGTATGCTCTTGCTTCTCATGTTTGAACCCTAAAATACAGCAAATGTAGCAGCCATCTGAACACTCCCTGGCACGCCAGATCGCGAGCAGGAGCGAGGGGCTGCAGCTGAGATGGGTAGTGAAAGCAGCCAGAGATGGCCTGAGGCCAAGGCCACAGGGGCAAGCTTGGCAAGGACAACTCCTGCCACCTACTCCCCAGTTCCCTCTTCCAGAATGTTGCAAGGCAATTCTTTCTCTACCACTAATCAAAGAAGGTCATGTTTTCAAAGATTTCCATACACTTAGCCTCGAAACTTCCTTGACTACCTGTGGGCGTAGGGCCATCACATCTTTATCACACTTAGGGCTGGCTGTTATTAACAGGAGATCGTGAACATATTAACAGGAGAGGTTAAGAGGAGGGAGAGGACGGAAAGGAGGCGCGGGGGCGGGGGAGCTCGAGCTCACTAATCTTAGATTTTAAGCAAGCCACGTACCAAAGGTGTCCAGAGCATCAGTCCTCGGCTAGGTCTAAATCGCACCTGAACTGGGGAAAAGTAACCCTGCCCACTTCCTCTCATCAATGCCACAAGCGGAGGCAGGACACACCCCCTGCCAACCTACGAGCCTCCACCTGAGCCTGGGCTTCCCCATCCCTTTGGGGTCCACCATTAACCCGAGGAACGCTCCGACAGCCCAGCTCCCTCGTCATCCCCTGCTGACGACCCCACGTCGGCGGTCACAGCCACCGCTGAGGCGACTCCGACTCCTGACTATGTCATCAGAACACCGGGCCCCCAACGCCCTCTGCCTTTTCTCCGCGCCCCGCCGTCCGCAGCGGAGTCCGGGTCCCCTCCTCCGCCCCGCAGCGGAACCTGATCCCCCGGGCCCTCGCGCCCCCGCGCCAGCCCGCTCCCGGAGCCCCGTCCTCCGGGTCCCCGCCTCAGCCCTGACCGGAGCGCCGCGCCTTCCGGCCTAGTCAAGGACGCCGCCTCCTCCCCGCACTCGCCGCCCGCCCGCGGAGCCTCGGCGTCGGCGGTCCCGCCCGCGCGGGACCCACTCACCCAAACGCGACCGGACCCCGAGCGTGGAAAGCAACGAACCCCGGAGGACAGCCGACAGCGCCTCCCGCCCTCAGCCGCTTTATAGACACCGACCCACCCGACACCGGCACCGCCGGGAGGCGGCAGGGGGCGGGACGGCGGCTCCCTCGGCCAATCACGAGCCTCGGGGTCCCCCCGCAGCGCCCGCCCCCCGGCCCGCTTTCTGCCAATAGGAAGAAAACGAGCGGCGGTGACTCCATAGGGTTTTCCCTCGCGGCCGCGGGGGCGGGGGAAGGGGCGGGGACGAAGTCGGAGGACCTGGGAAGTGGGGTGAGACGGTGACGCGGGGTGGCCCGAGAACTTGCCTGCCAATGACGGGACGGCGAGAGACGGCGAGAGCCAACGGGAGCGGAGTGAGAGGTTCTCTGGCCAATTGAAGGTCAGTGAGAGTAGCTAGGGACCAATGGCGACTTCGCGTCCCACTACTGGGGAGAGATGGTCAAGTGTAGGAGGTGAGCTGGTCCCTGCTTGGGAGGCTGTCAGGTTGCCTAGCAACCACAGCTTAGCTTTTTCTGCAAAATATTTGAAATACTTGAATTCGATCTTGACGCTTTCTAGTTTCCAGAGCTGCAAAGTGCGCCTGTATTACAAATTATAGCGCAAATAATTCACCCAGAATCTCTAAATTTGTAAGTATTCTAAAGTATAAGTATGCCCAATTTAAAACCACCTTGATTATTAGAGAAATTGCTGTTGAGACAATAAGTAAACCTAACGTACGATATTTTAAGGATTAGGCGTCAGTGAAGATGGGTCTTGTTCGAGAAGGGAAATTGATACAGTTTAGTGATGGGGGGGGGTAGGCACTTGGCCGACTACTCTCACCTTATCTCCTGAACTGTGATAGCTACCAAATAAAACTTTTTTTTTTTTTTTTTTTTTTTTTTTCAAGACAAAAAGGGTATCCTAATTCTCAGCATAGTGAACTCAGGGTAAGAACCATCTCACTCCCCCAGAACACAGGAGCAGTTCAAACACTAAAGAATGCTCCTGGAATCTGAAGGATGACAATTACTGCCTTCAGATAGACATAATATACTTGATATAATATACATAATAAACTTGTCTGTATGAAGTCCAGTACTTATATAATGATTATACACCATAAAAGTATTTTAAAAAGCGAAATAAGAATAAATTCTAGTCTCCTGCTCAAATAGAGAAACCATAACACTTAGCTTTGGTGAGAGTGAATAAGGGAGGCTCAGAATTCCATTACCCATCCAAGAATTGTCAATAAGGGCCATTGATGGCAGTAAATTAATTTATCAAATACATGGTGGTAAGAGCAAGTAGGTAGGCTACAGCATACAGGACAAATCTGCTATAGGCTTCAGATGCTATGTAATGGAGGACATTCTTCATTTGGGTTGGAGAAAATAGTTTCCTGCTCTGTTAAAACATGCCAAAGCTTTTACCTAATAGTCAAAAGAAGGGCAGGGCAGTGATACAGAGGTGGGCGGTGAGTGGCTATAAAGGGACTAAAGTTAGCTTAAGATCATTTTGGCCCTGGATCTTCAACATTCAATTCCACATAAACACAAAGGCCTAATCAGCCAGTCTGGAAGATCTTCAGCTGTAGCTCTTTTCAAGAAACTCTGGTTCACATGACCCAGTAACACATTATCAACAGAAGAGTATCAAAATCTGTTGGCTATGAAACCCACTATGAAGGAATGGCAGGAGGTACTTGGAAAGCAAGGACCATTCAGTAACTGCTATGACTCCATCATTCATATTGCACTCGATATCCATTTTTATCTTAAAATAAACCTTAAAGTTACCATGCCATAGAAAGAGAAACACATTGCTTGGCTGTGATAAACAGCATTTGGGGGTGGGGTAAGGAGCTAAATTTCCTGGTATATTGGAATGTTTTGAAAGGTAGGAAGGATAAACACAAGAAAGAAGAGCATTGTCCTTGAAGAGGGATTACACCACTCCCAAGTCTAACATGTGCAGTTGGAAATAATTAGCCAGATGAGCCTAAGGATGAATGTCTTTGACAAGCTGCAAGTCCCACCCACGCACTGCCTTTTGGTCTAAGTAATTTTCAGTTTAACAAAGTGGTCGTGGTGATTATTACAAAGTTAAGCAATGAACAACAAAATATTAGATAAATAGGCTCTTTTTTTTTTTAAATTTTTAAATGTAGGAGTGTTCTGTCTGCATGTACGCCTACATGCCAGAAGAGGGCATCAGATTCCAGTATAGATGGTCATGAGCCACCATGTGGTTGCTGGAAATTGAACTCAGGACCTTTCAAAAAGTAGCCACTGTTCTTAACTGGTGAGCCATCTCACCAGCCATAAGTAGCCTCTTAATTGAATTTAAAAAAAAAAATCTAAGATTTTTATGAAATAGTATAGTAGTTTATACTAGACTAAAAAAAATAACTAATGTCATACAAGTGATGGCAAGGTATACAAATGAAAGGACAGGCCTGACCTCCTCTCCCCAAAAGTCATCAGTCCCAGGAACTAGGCCATAGGCCACCAATTCCAGGAATAAGAAAACCATAAAATTCTCTACCCAAGGAATAGCCTGGAAGTAACTACAATAACAGGAAGGTATCTTATCTTACATTAGCCTACCAACCTAACATTCCTGAGGTCTGCAGATAGCTCACTCGGTATTAGTTATGTTAGTTAGCTAATCACTTTATAACAAGCTTGCCCTTGGAATTCCGGGTTCTTGTTCAAACCCCAAATAAAAACCTTGCCATGTGGCTGCTGCTCGGGGCTCTCGTCTCTGATCCACTGCGTTCGTGTTGATGGAGAATAAAGCTCTTTACTCTTTCATACGTGGTCTGGCTCCTGGTGGTCTTTGAGGACCTTAAGATTTAGGCATAACACATGACCAAAAAGAATTTTACAGTACCCCACATACTGTGAATCTGAAAACAAATTTGGACTCTTGATTACTTTTCTTTAAGCAGTTGTTAAGACTAGAATAAAAAATAAATTGAAGGCAGTTTTGCTGGCATATTTGGGGGGTTGTTTTCTTGTGAGATTTTTTAAAATTTTTTTTTTAAACAAACACAAATAAAAGTCTAACTCAAAAAAAGAGAAATCTAACAGCTCAACAAAAGTTCTTAGTTGCATTCTAGACATTGAAAGGCCATGTCACAGTTTTAAATCCAATGGTAAAAACAGAGGCTTGGAACTGTTTGGTAATCACAAGTCAAAAGAACAAAGTTTTCAAAACACTTTTTATTCTGTTAAGATTTTAATGACAGAGCATAGTAAAACTGATATCCTGGTTAAGACTTGTTAAAATATATGTTCTGTTAAAATGTTTTAGAACTCAGTGGCAAACATTGTTGATCAGACACTTTAGAAGCCACTTATCAAATGAAGTATAATCTGTTGTAGTGCCCTACTTTGGAAGGAAAATGAAGCTTGCCAGGAAGCCAGCAGATATCATGATAATGTTCAGTATTATAAATTCACCCATTGAGCAGACATTTACTCTTTACTGCTTCTGTAGTAGAAACCGCAGAAGATCTATGCTGTTAACAAGGCAAGTACCAACTACATGAGATGCTGTTACAGTCATTCCATGGTTAACCAGATCTTGTGGTACACACACACACAAACACAGAGGGGATTGAGTGTGCTGGTTAAATATATCAATCATTTAAAGTTGGTTATATATTGTAATGATAACATTTTGGTCACCTTGGGTTAAATAAATGTATTATGTTTAATTTTGCTGGTTTCATTTTAATTTTTAGTGTGGTTACCACAACAGTGAAATTATGCCTATAGCTTCTGTTTGTGGCTCCACATGTATTCTAAACAACAGAAAAAATAATTGGAAAATACAGACTCTATCTCCAAAGACTATGTAATCAAGGGTAGAAGTTGGGGAGAGAGAGAAAACAGAGCAGTGGCTGGGTTTCAATCTACAATACAACTGCAAAAGGTTAACAGTGACTCTTAAGAAGTCTGAGCTTTATAGTTTCTACCTCAGGTAATGTGTAGTGAAGAGTAGAGTCTTCAGGTTCACCAATTACAGGGACTTCTTTCTTGTCTGGTCCACACACCTTTATTTAAGAATGTAGTCAGTTGAATAATTCTACATTAGGGCTTTTTATTGAGCTCTCCACTTGGAAAGATGGCATCTAGGTTTTATGGAGCTTGCTGGTGAATGTTTCATCAGTAGAGGGGCTCAGTCTCATGAGTTTGTGTATTGGCTCTGCATCCTAATGCATGAAATGCTAAGACTCACCACATCTACCATTTGCTGCCAGTAATCTCATCAGCCCCACCGCAGCACTCAGCTGCACAGTCTCTCAGTTTCTTTTACCTAAAAACCTCTTAATCTCATCAACTAGAATTTCTGCTCAGGGTTTCCTAAAGAGCTTCTAGAGTCAGTCCTTCCAGATTACCCAACCTGAGGGAGCTCTAGGTTTACTTATTACCTGATGGCCCAATAGTTCTGGTCTATTGTTAACATCCAAAGTAGGGTCAAGGTTTCTAGGGAGATAGTCTCTTTTCCACAGGCCCTTAGAGATTTCCTAATGGGAAATGAGCTGAAAACCCCTTGACCTGGGCATGCCCACCAACAACTCAGTTTTGTTTCTAACACTACTTACTTCTTTCTAGGGTGTTATAATTTGTCCTTGATCATGACATGTTGCCCTTGAAAGCCTTGCTCCCATAGCAGAGTGCATGAAAGGTACCTTTAAAATAGGGCAATTCTCAGTAACTGTATAGCTCAAATTCTCAAAGAAGCATGCCCAGAAGACAACAGACGTTCAAAGGAAGAGTCTTTAACCCAGCTGGATATTTAAAGGCTTTCTGGAACAGATGCTACTCATTACTTATCACATTCATAAATCTTTACCAAGGACTGGTGTGTGCCAAGTTCAGGAGTTATGGTAAACAAGAAAAATGGAGTGTCTGACTTTATCCAGGTTAGTGAGTGAAGACAGAACATTATGTGAGAAACAGAGTAATGAGCTGAGTTATCTTCCAGTGATACACTGAAGAAAAGAATACACAGCAATAAAACAAAAGATGATTGTAAAGTGAAGACATACAGGAAATG